TTAATTAATTAAATGCTATTTTATTGTTTAAAATTTTAATAAAATATTTATACATTCTTAAATACATGTAAAAAATGGAAAATTAATGAATAATTAACTAGTGATCTCGTCAAAATAATAATTCATACATAGTAATAAAAAATATATAAATTAAATGTTTGACAGTAAAAAATCTTGATATTAATTTTCCAAAGATTTTTTTTATTCATAAAATGAATAAATAAAAAACTTGTATTAAAACATTTATTTTAATTATTAAATAATATGTGTATATACATATAACAAGTACTTTGATCAACTAAGCGTATGAGTAACTTTATTATCTTTATTTGAGTAATTATTACATTAATTATTTTATTTCGAAATTTTTTATGTCAAACATCTTCTCAAAGTTAAAGTTTCTTGAACGTCAATTGATTAGGTGGTTCATTGAGATATATAAAATACAAACTATAGAGTTAAGTTAACTTATCAAGAATTATTAAGTATAATTCTAATGGAGAACTAATTGTTCATCATCTATCTGCAGCAACAAGTTTTTAATTAAAAACTAAGACATGTAATTAATGTAAAACTATTCTTATTTCACTCAATTGAATACGTTTATAAATTCTTATATATCAAACTGCAAGCGCTGTTTTAACTCATTTGCTGACTAACTTTGCTAGAACATAGACTTTACTTCAGTTATTTAAAGTAATTATGATTTACAAAAAACAAGTTTCAAAAAATGTCAAAAAAATTTTTATTTTAATTATTGCATTTTGTTTAAATGAGGTTAATAGTGTTGAGTTTTACACTGAAAAACGTAAGTTATTGTGTATTTGTTAGATTTTTATCCTAAAATAAAAAATACTTTTATTTGTGTATCAATTTAAAAGCTGCATTTTTACCATCCTGTAAAATATATGAGCCCGGTTTTACAAAATGCTCAACAAATACAATTCAGAAATTAATTGATCAACTTATTATTGGTGAGTTGGTATATAATACAATTTATATTTTGTTCGGATGTTAAAAACTATACTAATTATTATAGGAATACCTGAAATAACAGCAACCTTTGGACCCTTTGATCCCATGCATGTGAAAAATATCATATTTAAACAAGATAGCACTGAAGCAGCATCGATTCGTGCTAATTTAACCAATGTTTTCGTAAAAGGTTTTTCTAAGATGAAAATAAAACAAAGCAAGTGAGTTTGTAAGAAAAATATAATAAATTTCGGGTTTTTTATATCGAAATCATATAATAATTTCCATTCGTTCTAAATATTTGTTAATAAATTCATTCGTATATGCGCAAGATAGTACAGTGAATTGAACTTTTAAATACTCACACATTTAAAGTGTTTACATTAGTAATTCTTCTTATAAGATATTTTTCGTTTTTATTGCCATGGACCTTAACTTCACAGTACAGTTAGGTTCAAAGTGATAAAAAAATATTAATAACATCACCAAAAGTTCATTTAACACATATTTAATTTAACAATTTAGTGACAGTGTATATTCGAATTTATGAATATCACATCAGAAATCATCTCATACAGCGGGACAGTCACCTATAATGTGAAGGACAAACTGACCCAAATACTGACACAAATTGTTTTTTTCTCTACATTGTCATTTTGGAAGTGCCTAGTATATTTAAATTAAAGTTCACTATAGATAAAATAAGAAGAAAATATATTTTGAAAAATTGTGATATTTATTGAGCAATAAAGTCTTTTATAAATATTATTAAACATCGCCGAAAAATGCTTTGCTAATATATATGTAATCATCATTAAGTTTTAAAGATAATCCACAAGCTAAAGCTAAGGGTCACTCGAAAAAATATGTTCTAACCATATACTAGTTAAACTGACGTGATAATTTTGTTAGAGAAATTTTATCTTATGGAGTAAAAAAGATATGAAAACGAAACATGTGGTATGGTTGAACAAACATGATGCATCTAGTAAGAATGTTTGGACCTGAGACTTAGTTAAAATCTTGTTAAATCAACCAAATTATATTTCTGAATGTGGCATATTTTTAATTCTGTCTATAAAAAAAATAATATTGCGCCAAAAGCCACTATTCTGAAGGATTTTTTGCTTACTATTCTATAAGTTCTTTTAAAAAAAATTCCCCCTATCTCTACTATCCGTTGATGGAGTTTTTCTTAGTTAGAGGATTTTCTGTACTCCTTTTATAGATTGGATTCTCTTTCTATTGTATTAAATATTTACATCTCATTCAAAGAAAAGCGATATATCAATTTCGCAGCAAGGTATCAATATATAAAGTATTAACCAAATAAAATAGTTTTAAGAAAGGTTTTATAGGAGTCTTCCTTTATAATATATTTACACTACTGTAACATTTTATTTTCAAGTTGTCTCAATACCTGTTGGGGTATTACGTTTTGGCGAATATTTTGAGAAGCTTTCCAGAACACTCTACTCTTTGATTAAACTAACAATATTCTTAAACTTGATGTATTCTTATTTTGTTTTAATAAAGTATATACATAACGAAAATATTATTAAGAAAATACTAACCTAGGCAGAATTCGATTTTTGAGGTTATAAAATATTTTAGATAAAATAAATAACAAAACTGGAAGAATTCTCAAAATTATAACCCTTTTGTGAAAGTTACAAATCTGTTAGTGTATGTATTAATTTTAGCCTAACTGTTGCTAAGAGTAATTGTAATTTAATATAAATTCTTTACAGAGTGAGTAAAAAAGATTTCAGTTGGGACACGAAAATATTTCTACCAAAAATGCGTATGGATGCAGATTATACTATGGAAGGTAAAATATTGCTTATACCATTGCAAGGAAAAGGCACGATATTTATAGAAATTGGTAATGAACAAATTTACTACTCGTAAATAATTCTAAATATTATCAATAATGAAATATTTTTTCCAGAAAATTTAGATATATATATGCATACAATCATACAGCTTTACGAGAAAGGCGGCTTTACTTTCGATAATATAACTAATATTAATGTTGATCTTAACATGACCCGTGTACGCACACATCTCACCAATTTATTCAATGGAGCCAGTAAAGAGGTAGAGGACAGTACAAATAAATTCTTCAATGACAATTGGAGAGATTTTTACGAAGCACTTAAGCCCATTATTGTGGAAACAGTTGAAGGCATTTTATACGATGTAATGAGTAAAGTTTTTCATCTTATACCAGCAAACTTCTTCATTGAAGATATACCAACTTCAGAAAAATTATATGGAAAGGCAAATACAGCTTAAATTTCTTATGTGATATTAATCAGATATTTTATTATTTTTTTTATAATTTAAAAATATTTAACGTTAATTCATTATTATTTATACTTAATTATATATTTAAGATTTTTTGCAAGTCATACGTTGCTTTACAAAAAATATATTCTACAATGTCAATGTTAAACATTTTTCACCTTTGCTATCTTAACAATAATTTTTAGTTTTAATTATGGTTATTGTTAATATATTTAATATCAACTAAACATTATTATAAAATACATATGTTAGACGTTTTATATATTGTATATATTTTCAAAACTGTGACGTTACTAGAGTTTATATAAATAATGGTTTTCTACACCACACCATAAAACATGAAGAGAACTTCTAAAGCCAACAATTATTTATAATATATGTTATATATATATATTATATATATAATAATGTATACAATTTTAACATATATATGAACATATATAATATATATATATATATATATATATTAGCATTGAAATTCTTGCATTGTTTTTTTCTATGAACGTTTTTTGATTGATCGTACATACAAGTGTAATACTTTTTGTATAAACTTGTTTGATTTATAGATACTTAATCACTCTTACTAAAGTTAGCTAAAATAGTTATAGCTTCGAGTTTATTAATTTAAATATTTATTTATAAATGTGAATATCATGTATATTTTAAAAAATATATATAAAGTTAACTACCAAATCATACTTTCTGAGTACTTTTCAGTTCTTGATATGTAGTTTATGTTATTATATTAATTTTGATATCATATATCATATAATATCATATATATTTTAAAAATATATATAAAGCTAAGTATCAAATCATAGTTTTTGAGTATTTTTCAGTTCTTGATTTGTAGTTTATGTTATTATATTAATTTTGATATCATATATCATATAATATCATATATATTTAAAAAAATATATATAAAGTTAACTATCAAATCATAGTTTTTGAGTTCTTCAGTTCTTGATATGTAGTTAATGTTATTATATTAATTTTGATATCATATATCATATAATATCATATATATTTAAAAAATATATATAAAGTTAACTATCAAATCATAGTTTTTGAGTTCTTCAGTTCTTGATATGTAGTTAATGTTATTATATTAATTTGGCTCGGAATATGTATAATCTTCATATATATATTTTACAAAAAGTTCTAAATAGAATACAAGCCTTTTATTAAATTGAAATACTGAAATATTAATTAATATATATAAAGTGTCTATCTTGAATAATCCAATAAATAGATAACTCCCGGTTTACATTAACAAATTATCAAAGATAATTGTAATAGGTTAAAGCTTGCTAGTTAAATGAAAATAGGTTTTAAATATCTTTAAAATATTTTTTAAAATGTTTAGCAGTAAAATTTATATTTTATTTTTATTGATATTCAAAATATTATATTCTGTAAAAAAAGTTGATGAAGCTCATAATTAGCAAATTAAAATAAATTTTTGAGCTTCGACTCATATTTTAAGACACACTCAGAAAATGAAAATGAGAATGTAGGGGACTTTTTAGTCCGTAGGCATGTATGACTCAATTTGAGTCGTGCATGAATCGGGCATGCAAATGGTACGGGCCATTTGTATCTTTTGAAGATTTTTCCCCCAGGTCCGATACCAAAAAAAAAAAAAAAACTCAGAAAAATTGTAACTTAATTCGAAATTTTATTTTTATCTCTATGTCTATATCTTGTAATTTACAAGACCTTTCTAAGTTTTCGTGAGTTTTCAAAAATGAACTGCAAAGATTGAAATCGTTGTCATCATTGTTTATTTGTAAATAGTATCAACTCGCCCATAGCTTGTTTCTACACTATTTTCATATAACCCTCACCTTATATATAATCATACGCTGCTTAAAAATCGAAAGAGAGCTATAGTTAGGCCAACAGCAATATTAATTCGCAAGTGGTAACATTTCACAAACCATTTAAATTTGTCTCCGGCAAAAACACCATTCTTTTTGTCTGATGGGATCAGAGCGCTATTGTAAAAACTCTTTTAGCCTGGCAAATCTGCTAATACACAACGCTATCGCCAACAAATGCTTAATTTAATATAGGCATTAATCGAAAAACGTTCGGAATGGCCAAAATATATGCCATAGTGATTTTCTTACAGGACAGGTTTTTGGATTCATAGCCAAAAAAATTGATTTCTCTTCAAAAATTCGTGGTTTCTTTACAAATCAAAACCGGAATACATATCTATTATAAAATGAAATAAAAAATGTTTTAATAGCTTAAGTTCAGGTCATTTAAACATCTCCTGATACTTTCTGACACACGCTTGAGACACTTGTAGAGCTAAGGTCCCACATATTAATCGTTCAATACCCAAATACAAAAACAAATCACATTTTTTCTTTAAACAGTTAAAGAAAAACTCTATTAATACTTTGAAACATTTATATATCTGAAAAATTACTTTTATAAGTTTTCGATCTTCAACCCGCAAAAATATATATTTTTACCCAATATTATTACAAAAAATGTTCTCTTCATACTTGTATATATACAATACAACTTATATACATATAATAAATTATTCAACATGTAATTAT